GATAAGATGTGACCTTTAGAGCCTTCAATGTAATCAGCAAGGCCCTCAAATGAACATGGATCCAATGAAGCGAGGCTAGGCCTGGGGTGATGTGCGCACGCTTTTTGGTAGCTGTCATCATCCTTGCAGCTGCATTTTGGACCAACTGCAGTTAATGAAGACTGGGAACGGCCTAAATGGAATTACAACAATCCCATTATGATGTAATGAAGTTTTACTTTTTCCATATCATGGAAAGACAGATTTTGCTTAAGTTGGGAAATGTCTCTTAGCTGGTAGTAACTATTTTTAACGACAGAACTGATTTGACCTCACATGTGGATTGAGGTGGCTTCTGGACTCAAAGATAATTACTTCAGTTTTATTACTGTTCTAAGCAGTTTATTGGTCCTCTCATTCTCAGCTCTGTCGTATATGGCAGAACCAGTGAAGCATAATGAGATCTGTAAATATCCCAGAGTAATACCATGCAATTTCCTGTTTAACATGGAATAAACATCAATAGCACCAAGGGAGTCCGGGTGAAGGAAGGAATTCTTATTGAAGCAAACAATAAACTTAATTGAGTGGGACAAAAATATTTGAAAATTTAAACCAAAGGCCACTTTTAGGGAGTATTTATTTATCATTGAATGAACTTGACTAACTTGTTGATTTAATTTTCATGACCTGCTGTGTGAAATGTTTTACAAAACCATGCAGGAAGAGTCACTGATAAAGAAACCTCGTGTGGAGACGATGTGGATGATCCTTCTTGATCCAATCAGGCCTCACAGAACCTCGTCTGGACAAACTTAACGATACTGCTGTAAAGAGCTGTGTGAATTAAAAATATCAACCAGAAATGTATACTGCTGGACTTTAAAAAAGGCATTTCAGGCCAGACCGTACAGTAACCCTCCCTCAGCTCAGGTTCCATGGGCCAAGAAGTAACCCTCTTCCCCACACTGTGACACTCACTGTGCACACACACATGACTTTGTGGTGCCAGTGAATACTGACGCCGCAGCCTGCTCCCCTTCCTGTCAGTCTCCTTCCAGAGCAGTGAGGTTTGAGTTGACGTTTGAATTACAGGGTCTTACATAGCTGTCTAAATCTGACCTCCACCGCACATTTGAACTGCAGACATAGACAGCTTCACCAACCACTGCACATCAATTTCCAGATACACAAACAGTTTTGAAAATGCAACTATTGCGAGCCATATGCTAAAAGTTGCCTCGGTACTGGAAGAGGGTTCCATATAGTAACAGAGCAGTCCACATGTCTGTCTGAGTATTTATGTGTGTATATTTAAGGTCACATTTCAGCACATGTAGTGTACTGTAAGTGGATGTAATGTTATGGCTTCTATTTGTACTTTTTGTATGATGTCTAAACGGACAGTCTTGGAGATGAAGTCCAGGGATCATTCACCTTCTGCTGGATCACATTTCATTGGCTTTTGGGATTTCCATTTTAACTGGCATCAACAAAAACAAACACCAGGAGGAAAGCCATTCCTTCTGGGAATTATAAGAGTAAACTAAGAGGGTGGCAGTGTGGTAAGAAGCTTAAGTTCTATTTCTAGCTCTACACAACAATGTTTGTGTCACAAACAGGATATTTTCACGGTCATCCAACAGACACATATATTACAATACGTAATAAGTATTTTATACAACAGGAGCAATTTGAAAATGTGCATTGTTTATTAAGATTACAGGAAGCCATTTAGTTTCCTAATAAACATCTGACAATATTTGCACTCTGTTTCCATATCCAGCTCTGTCAGCATCTGTGTGCAAGCTCTAACCATGAATACAGTATGTCTGGAAGTACAATGGCTGGTTTCAAAGCTCACCAGCTCAGCCAGACATCGTTGTCTGTCTCCCCACCAGGCAGACATACAGGGATTAACCCTTACCGTGTCCCTGTGGCTCCATGTTCACTGTCCATGTTTTAAGGAAGTTATACATAAGACTCTGCTGGTATGACACTGACTTGACGTCTTGCACATCACTGTAGTGAATTGTACTCCAGTATAATGGCTCTCAATGTTTTTTGACTACAGAAAGTCAAACTGAGGACTGAAAGGTTAAATCCCACGTGATCTCAGATATCTGCATCAAAGAGATGCAGCTGTAACTTCATCACTCAACTTGGATTCACAGCAATGACATATTGAACAAACCTTGGTCCGCATGTTTTGTATGTTCCAAACAATCTTTGTTTCACCAGAAAATCACTATTTATAGTCTATAGCAAGAAACTGAGTGTTTGAACACATATTGTTTCCGGGCATTTTAATTTTTTTTCAGAATTACATGATTGACATTATATTGAAGTTAACTTCAAGATGTTCCATTAACACATTCCATTGTTCCATAATTATATTAAGCCAGTCCATGTGTGAAATCACCCAACAAATCCATTATCATGCACATACATATTTAGTTGAGTGAGTGTTTTGAAACATTGATTGCTGAGAAGTGGATAATGTTGCAAGAATTGTTTCTGTTGAGGTTTTACTGCCATACGAAGCGTGAGTATTTGATACTCAATAGATAGATTTTGGTGGGCTGTTCCTTTAAGACTTAGTGTCCTTCATTTAATTTTCTATTCTATTCTAATAACTACAGCCATTGAGATGCCATGTTCTGTGCTCGACCTTTGCAGAAAAACTTCTGACTCCTAAATTTACACCAGGTTTCAAAAACCTAGGTGAATCGTTACTGTTCAGTGACTGTCAGAATAATGTGTTTCAGTATGTGTCTGCGTGTTCATGCCTGTTTTTTTTTTACTGTAGCCTAGAAAGCACTGAGGACTGACATCACAATGCTCTATTCTCCTTGGGCCAACACTCGGCTTCCTGGTGGGTCAGAATCCACGGAAACAGGAGCACAGTCCAAACAAAGACACAGAGGTCGACTTCTTTCACTTACCCCTTAACTCAATCCTCCATATATCCCCCCCAGTAAATGTGTTTTCACTAGATGAAACTATTTGGTCTGAGTGACAGTAATGATAGTGAGCTGTTGAATACTAAATGAGTGTCAGTGTCAAGCTTCTTGGCTGCATCTCTGATTTGTGAGAAAGCCATTTCCTGTGAAGAAAAACTTTTACTGTCTCAAAGACTTCTCATCGTGTTTGACTAGCACTCCTTCCTCTCTGCCTCCTTCTCCTTCCTCCTTCCATGCCCATGAGCCTAATCTTTTGGTCTGTTTCTCCTCTTTTATCCATGTTGGATCTTCGTGTCTCTTTTATATCTGTCTGTCACCCCCAGCACAACTTCATATTGATTAAAATACAATTTCACACAAATTTTGACAGAGACAAATATTTTCAACATGACAGTTTATGGTGTCAGGTTTCCAGACATTGCTAGCTCCCTTTTTTATCACTCCCTCTGTCTTTCCCTCACCCTCACATTCACTACTCATCAGAGAGTGTGCTCGCTCTCCCAGACTCACAACAAAAATGATCCCTCCATTTCTCATGTCTGTTCTCAAGGCCCACCACACCTTCTTTCACGTCTCTCTCCACTCCTCTCCCCTTTCCCCTTGCTCGTAGTTGAAGGCCTTTGCTCCTCAGCCTCCACCCCTGTGTCCACTCTCTTTCCTCTTTTATCTCATCCCTCAGTTAATTCAGGCTTTCTCTGTTTCCACTGTTTCCCCACAAGTCGTTTTTATTTCTAGGTAGTAAATTGATTTCTGTTTGTTAAATCTGCATCATAGCCCCTCGGCTTGGGCATTTGGGCTTCTGTTCATCCAGAGGAATATTTTTTAAACTTCTAAACATCTGGTGCCAACACTAACCTCTTCTCCATTACATATAAGTTCAACCATAGATTGTAGATATGAAGCTTTCCACAAAGAAGTGCACAATCAGAGGTATTACTCTGATCAAATGGTTTATAACATCCTTATAATTGTTTTATCCTGCTGTACACACATGCATACATACTCTTGCACACATGCACACTATTTTTGCATGTTCAATTGTAGGCTGATGGTGAGTGTATTTTTTTTAAGAGTGAGGTGAAGTGGGGTCAGAGTGAAAACAAAGGTAGATGACACCCACGGGAACGCTTAAAAGATCATGTTTAAGGAGCTGAGTAAGGGGCAGAAGATGATATCTGAGTGTGTGCGTGTTTCATTGTGTTTGCTGCATATCACAGCTCATGTTTCTGATTAAATATACAATTCATAGCAGTCCTTAATTTTAAGTCAGTTCACATGTCAAACATTTGTCAGAAGCAATGGCAGAGAGGACCCAAGGTTAAGACCAGATGAGTTCAAGAATCAGGGGGCTCCTCGCACACATACGCGCGAGCACATGTAACGGGTGTGGTTAGGGGTGTGTGAAGGATCACTCACGAGATTACTTAAAAGGGATAGTGTGCAGCTAAGGACATATCCACAGGAAAAAATAGCAAAAATAAAGATAAATAAACACAATGAGATAAAATTCACAAATATTCAATAAAATCATTAAATGACAGAGAAAATCCACAGGTGCAAATTTGAAAATATGAATTATTAAAGTGCATTTTAAATGGTGGTACACACACACACACACACACACACACACACACAGACATGCTGAAAATAATCATGTCTTTCTTTTTCACATTGCTCCTTTGATGACCTCAAACCAACATGTTGTCGTACTTCTGTTGCTCTATTTGTTCTCTTTTTCAAGCCTATCAGTTTTCATAGTTTCGCTCAAATTGAAAGTTTGCATGATGTGCTATATGCTTGTTGAGAGTCATGACCGGCTAAACTTCGAGGCCTTTTTAATAGTCAGTTCTTTATCCAGACTATGGTTGTACTAGTAAAAGATGGGCCACACAGAGAGCGAGAGAGAAAACTGTACACATATCAGGCATCTACCTCTTTCTGGATTAGGGTTAGGGTAAGGGCTTCATTCAGCATCCATTGTTATTTAGTCATTCAGACTTCTGGCGTCCACCCACCACCACCTCCTTCTCCTTCTCCTCCTCCTCCTCCTCCTCTCCATCTGCTCCAGTCCACTTGTCAGCAGCAGAGCCGCTGCACGGTTGCGCTGCACTGATGCAAAGTTCATGTCCAAGCGGAAACATACGGTGCGGACCGCAAACCACGGAAGATGTAGATGTGGTGAAGTTGTCTCTTTGCTAATTGACTGCGCTCTGACTTTATTTTAAGGTAAGATTTTTTCTTAAAAACGGAGTTTGTAAATCACTTTGTTTGATGTATGTTGCGCAACGTGCAGTAAACAGCTAGTGGCCATGTCAAAATCAACAGGAACAGTTATTTACAGTCACTATACACAGTCTAAACTGAATCAAGTCTTGTCGGCTTTCTATAAAATAACATTTGAGTGCATCACTGTGCGTTAAAGGAACAGAAGTGTCTCTCTTATAAAATCTCCACTAAATCAACCTTCGCATGCTTATGCCCACGTGTTGTCACGTTGTTGTCACATAGCCTACTGTCTTAACAGTTCATGAATCAGAGTCCGCACATGTTGAATAAAAGTACGCTACATCACTGCGCACTTAGTTAGTTAAAAAGTGAGTTCATGTTTCTGGTTATGGAAGGACTTGATCACAGTTATGATCACTGTTATAGATGTGAAAAACATGCTTTAACAGTATTTGTCATCTTTAAATAACATCTGTCAGGAGACAAGTCTCAGAGCACTAGAGAGGCCAAATAATGTGCATCCAGATTTCATGTGCATCATTCAAAATACTGCATCATTATCCTGCAGAAATATCACAAATATGTCAAGAGTCTCAGAAATCCTGACAACATATAGAAAGCAATTTGGCATTTTATGCCTGTATCAGTGTTTGCAATGGCCTCACATCCTCTTCTACATAATCACTTCCCATGAGATCAGCGGAGATTTGTGTTTTTGTCATCATTGAATGGAACTTGCTATTGAAATATGAACTGTAAGCCCTATTAGATATCAAAGAAGGTGGAGGTGAGCCTATGTTTGATGGAGACAATCAAAATCAATTGGTCACTGTGCTCCTCCAGTGGAACCACAGAACAACTGTTCTAGAGTCGTGCCAGATGTCAGACCAGTAGGTTGGCAGCCTCTCAGGGAGGTGGCGTCATGGTTAGATAGAGTCAACCATCCAAACATCTGGCCTGCTGAAGGACACTTCCGTCTGTCCCTACAGCAGTATAGGGCTTCAGTTGACACTGACCTTTGCCCTGCATGGAGAACGACGAGCAAGAACCAAAAACCTGTAAGAACTCAAGGTGGAAATGGAGGCCATGGTCATGGAGTCTACCCCATGGCACATCAATTGCACAAACTCAAACAAGACTGATTGGGAGTTCCATTAAACGGCCACTTTAACTTTGCCTCTCTGTTTATGTTTGCTTTGTGGAAGTTTGGAGAGGCAACATTTCCTTATGCTCTTTGTTCAGCATGGCTATTTAAATTGAATGAGATGTGTTTGCACTTCACTGTTGCTTGGCTTCATTTCCTCTGTGATCTGCTGTCCCGTACATAAAAATAAAAATAATTCATGAATGATCAAGTCATGTAAAACTTTATTTGTCACCAGAGGTCACTGAACTAGTTGATAATATGCAGTGAATCCTTATCTCAAATGTCTCTTCCTGTGAGTTATTGTGTTGACTCAGTAGCGCATTAAGAAAAGTGTGGGAGGGAGTGAACAGGAAGTTCATTTACAAGTCGAGTGCTCAGATAAAACACATATGTCACATCACACAGTGTTCACAGTCTGATACTGCCAGACAACACCATGAACCAATGTCATCACACTCAGATATCATAACCCAATATCATCACATTCATTAATCGCCACAGTTAGCAAAGCAGTGCAGAGCAGACTCCCTTATCCCTAGGCCTAGGAGTGTATTGCCACGTTGCAGCAGTATATCCTTGTAAAGTGAGTGCATGTTGTATTTTAGAGTCATGCGTAATGGTCAGGGTGTTCTGACCTCAACCACAGTTTGCCAGTGACGTGGTGTAAAAGGACCATGGCTCTCCGGTCCAGTGGAGGAAGAAACCTCAGAGCTGACCCACTGCTCCACAGCCCTGCATGTGTGTGTGTGTGTGTGTGTGTGTGTGTGTGTGTGTGTGTGTGTGTGTGAGTATGCGAATGCACAGATGAATTTCCTCCTGAGCAACTGGGATTGAATGCCCATCAAATGTGATCAGAGCCCTTTTCAACAGTTTGTGGCTCTGTGGTACCAGATGCTTGCAGGGAGAGTGACAGAGAAGGGAAGCATGTTTGGCAGTGTGTATGTTTGTGTGTGTGTGTGTGTGTGTGTGAGAGAGTGTGTGTGTGTGACAGAGGGAAAAACAGAGAGATAAAAGACAGAAAGACTAACTGAAAAAAAATAGAAATCTGTAGGGAAAAACGATGAAGAAAGGCGGTAAAAATGTGTTTCTCATCAGTGTCCTCAGATCATTTATTTGATGGCCATAATAGATGTCGTCCAGTCTGCGCTTCCCATTGCACGCTGTTCCCATTACACTTTCCAACCCCCTCATCTGTCTCTGTCGTTGCAATCAGACAGGCAGCTCATGCAAAAACAGGCTTGTTTATGGAAGTCTGTAGGTACAATTTACAAAAAAATCACGTGTAGCCGATCTGAATTTCTTTATATGAACTTCTATTTTCTAAATATTCTTTCCAAAGTGAATGTCGGTGCTGGTATTACACTTAATTGTACATGAAGACATCTGACTTAAGCTGTGTGTACTGCTCACATAGCCATGAAGGAAGAAGAAAACCATATGAAAGGCTGTAGCTATCAAAGCAAGAGCAAACATGTAAATTATAGACAAGCAATGACTGAAATGCAAAACCAAAATGAAGGACAAATGGGGGACAAACTAGGTGTTGACAATGACCGTAGATGTTTGTTTATCTGCCTCTCACCTTCTCGTGCCCCAAAGGCACTAATCACGCCCTTAAGCCAAATTTTAATGAGCTAAGGGATCAGAAGTGGTCAGGCAACTTCTGTCACACCCATACCTTCATGATATCTTCCCTCCTCCCCTGTGTTTAGGTTACAGACAGTGCCTGCTATCTGTGATGGCCACCGCTGAAAATTTGTCCTGTTAAGGTTTTTGGGAAGGTATAATCTCAGCCCAGGCCAGTGCCCAGTAAGAGTGGCACCATCAGCTTGTTTAAGTTGTTATATCACAGGTCCAGATTGGCCTGGCAACAGTCACAGCTAGTAAAACCAGGAGCCTGCGACATTAATCCAGCACTGGCTGCAGTTTGGCGAGATCACATGTTTGGAGCTTACTAGAGCTCCGATTGCCCTGGAGTCTTTTCTTCAGCAGACAGGAAGAAGGTTCTCAGTGTGTATCCAAGAAAAACAGATACATAGGCCCTTTGGAAGTTGTAGGGAAAATGTCTATCTCTGGAAAAGTGGATTTATGCTATTAATGTTGTGAATAAATCTGTCAGGTAGACCTGGCATTTCTGCAACTTAGAGGGGTTGAACATGCAGACAGAGGCTCTTGTTTTTATGTCACGTCCCAACATGGCACGTCACTCTCAATTGTTTTAATGTTTTAATTCAGTTAAATATAAATGAGGTAAAATTTTTACATAAATATAACATTAAGAACATCACCTCCCACCCCTACAACAACTTAATAACGTTCAACTAACAAGAAAATATTAGGCATTTGTGCTCTATAAATAACTAAATAATCGATTCTCAAAATTGTTGTCAATTCCTGTAGCTCAACTAATCTGGTAATGCTGAAATAGCTATAATAATATATTTATTAAATATATTATATACATACATATGTATAAGAAAAGTGCTGTTGACTCAGGAGAGAATAGTTTTTGTACTGAAATGAATATTAATCATACTTAGAAAACACACAAGACTCTTCCCGTTGTACTCAGGTTTTATATGTCAAGTTCAGTCCCTGAACACATTCTTGAGAACCTCCTGACTCCTCAGAGAGAAAAACAGAGAGCAAAACATTCCCAGCATCAGTCAATCCAAAGTTTTAGTTGCCTGACACATTTACGTGTGCCTGAATGCTCCTGCTTTGGTCTTCAGTCTAGTGTGTAACTCACATCTCTCTCCTTTTCTCTCTGTCCATTCTCTTAGCTGGCCTTAAATGAACTGAATGAAAACACAGAAGCCCCCCTTCCTGGCACCCATTGAAGAACTAAGTGGATTGAAGAAGGCAGAGAGCAAGTGAGGGAGTCAGGGTGGGAGGAAAGACAGAAGGGATTAGGAGCTAATCCAGTGCACGGACAATCCTGCAGGAGCCTTATCTTCCTTTCAGGATGATGCACAAAAAACAGTTGCTGGATTACGGGACCTTACTTAATTGCCCTTTTCAAGAAAGCATCATCCTCCTTTTTCCTTTGCTCTGGTAACCTCTTATAGGTCTGTGTCTTGGGTGCAGAGGGACCAGGATACAGAGGTCAAAGAAGCGGGGCGTCAGGCCTGGTGACAGGATGTCCATGGTCAGTGTGGTGCCACACATGGATAAACCTCTTTAGTGGGAGACGGTGCATAGCAGTGGACCCCCCGTCCTCTCTGCTTGGACTTTGAGGAAGACATGTGCAGAACAACTTATTGAATGAGACACAGAAGATCCTCTCAGAAGCTGGCGTCTGTTGAACACACGCATAAAGGACTCACTGCCAGTAAGCGAAAGAGTGGAGACACTGATGTTTTGATGTGTTTTGGGAATTACTTTCTTTAAAAGTGCAGGATTATAGAGCATTACTGAATGTTTCTGAAGCTAAAAGGAGAAGGCAGGAGTAAAGTAGATAATCAGTGAACAAAGCTAACCAGAAACCTAAATAATAGTGAGAAGGGAAGCCACAGTCTGGTGGAAATGGGCAGATAAAGTTCTTAAACAGAGTTATTTATACATTTCAGCAAGTGTGCTGGTGCAGTCCAGTCACAATTTGTTCTAAAAATAGAGCCTATCTGCTACTTAAAAGCTTCTTTTACTAGGTTTGGGTAAAAGGCAAATTAAATATACTTTGGTTTTTCAAGACATCTCGGTGAGGTTATATCCTTTTAGTATTGCAAGCAATATGCAAGTTCAAACTGACAACAAGACAGTTTTCCAAGTCTAAAAAGATAAACAATTAAATTAACACAGTGTTTAACCCAGCTGAGTTGTTTCGCAGAAATGACATCTTATTGTATTTGCAGTTGTGGTTGGATTTTGTATTTCTAACCTGTCATTCACTGAACTAGATCTGAACAAGGATCCAGCCAGCCAAACTCTCCAGCCACATAAGCTGTGGTAACCAGAGGAAATGAAGTGTGACCCCGTAATTCATCTTCTTTGTTGTTTTGTCATGACTGAAAGCTGCTGTTGTGCAGGAGAAGTGAGCTGAGCGTTTGGTCATTTTGGACAGACGTGCAGTACTTGCTGTGCATAATGGGGACTGAGTAAGAGGAGAAACAGGACGGGATTTAGACAAGCACTTGACCGACTCTGCATCCATACTGTCATCTTTCAGTGTAGATCCAAAGGGAAGCTGTGGGCCGAGAGTGGATGAATAGTTGGCTCTGGCACTGTAGAGAATGGATTATAAACACATTCTCTGCCAACTGAACAACCACATATTTGTGTTTTCTGTTCTCACTGTCCCAGCATTTATAGTTTTTTCTTCTCTCTGCTTTTACAGTGGACCCTAAACTGGAATTTAAACTTGACTGACATGTAATCAGAGCACAGACAGCCTCATTCGAGTTAAAGGGAAATTACACAACTTTTTGGTCACTATGAGTCTGGGAAAACTGCCAGGGATTAAAGGCCTTGTGTCTGGCTCTCAGGGGAAACGTCGTTTCAAGAGCGAGCTCTCCGTGGACATGATCAGCCCTCCGCTGGGTGACTTCCGTCACACTATGCATGTTGGTCGTGGCGGGGACGTGTTTGGTGACACTTCCTTCCTTAGTAACTACGGGGGCATCAGGGAGCCAGGAAGTCCAGACTCAGCAAACAGCTCGAAGACAACTGGGTTCTTCACACGTACCTTTCGGCATGTGCGCAAGAACTCTGGGGCGCGGCCGCGAGGGGGCTCCCGTGACTTGTCCCCCCACCACCAGACATCTCACCCATAATCAAGAACGCCATCTCTCTGCCCCAGCTGAACATGGACTCCCCCAATGGGTGCAGACAGAGGGTGCTGTTTCCCAGCTCCATCAGCTCAACAGATGACGCCTTCTGCACATATGGTGAGATAATACAGTAATTACTTCCAGCATGGGGCAGGGTTTATGTTAGTACCAACTTCATCTTCATTAAAATACAAAAATCATTTGAAAGAGCTGAAGAAGTAAAGGTTGGATATAACAACGGTTAGTGTTTACAGGAAGGAGATGGAACAAAGTGAATGTGTAAGTTTAGTCGAGTGGTCCACAATTCATTTTTTCATTAAAGCCTTGAATTACATAGTATATTTACTGTGGGTTTTTATTTAGGATAAAAAACAATGACTGCAATTGCAAAACAGAATCAACAAACCAATTCAAACAATGGGTTTTGGGATGTTCATATAAAATTATTTAAATAAATAATAAAAAACACAAATGAGTCTTGGTAAGATCATAATCACCATAGATCATATTCATTAGCAAGGCTCAGAACATCACTCTGAGATCAAACAGAGCATGTGTGTCTGATTTGAAATGTCAAGATCCTGGAAGAGGCATATGGGTAAGAGTATTTGTTTTATTTTGGTATCTTTAGGTTACAGTAAACTCAGAGGCAGAATGATCAATGACCTAGGTATGGGCTGCAGCCGAGTGGTAGAGCAGTTAGGCATTACTCACCATTAAGGGGGGGAGTGTGGTGGACTATATCATGAGAGATGCAGTTCTGACTATACACTCTCCAGCAGACCAAACAGAATCAAGAGCTGCTGGGCTGACTTGGTGCGAACAGGACTATAAATGCCAGTGAGCACAAAACAAGAGAGGGGTCAGACTGCCCTCTCCCTTTCAGCATCGTTCCCACATTCCTCCAAGACAACCAGCAAACAGGCTTCTTCTGAGTCATCTGGAGTCACCTAGGCAACACCTGTACACAATTAGGTCAATAAACACAAATGCACACAGCTGGTTTGGGAGAAAGAAATATACTTAGTAGTATATATATAGTGGGCATTTCCTATCATCTAAATGTGGCTGTGTCACTGCCTGAATGAGCAGCACAAATACCATTCATTGTATCTGCTAACCAGTCAGAGCTTATCAGGCAGCAGTGTGCTGAGTCCGGACTGGAAATCCCCTTTCTGTCTCCAGATTCCTTACCTAGTCCATAAGGAATTTTCCCAAACTGATTGATGTAGAGCTGGCATACAGATGGTGAACTGAAGGATGATGGGAGCTTCTTGTCATCAGTGGGTTTCTCAGTTTGTAATCATTATTTCCATCTTTTCATATATACACACATACATATACAGGAGTTTTTTATACAGATGTCACCATCCACTAATTTGCAGAGTTCAGTCTTGAAAATAAAGATAACTTCACTAAAAGTGAAAAATTAACAAGGTGTATTCCAAAGTAGAAAACTGTAGGCACCAGTTGAGTATTAATTGGAGAAAATGTGCAGCTTTACTGCAAAGGCTTAACACTGTAAAGAAAAACAAAAAGTAAAAACGGTAAAGTTAAATACAATTTCTCTCAATGTGCTGTACAGATGTAACAGATGTGTCAATCACTCTTTACTGGACTGTAGGAGCACAGCAGGGATTTTGACACAACTTCTATTGTTCATGAAGAAGGGAAAAAGTCTGAAGAGATAACTCTTGTAGAATAAAGAACAGCTTTATTACCAGACCAACAGCTTGTGGTCTTTATCAGGTCTTTACTGGACTCCTATCATGATACACCATGGCAATTCCTAGTTTCTAGTGATTTCACATTCATCTCTGTCTCTCCATCTATTGCCAGAGTTTGTAACATTAAGTCTGTCCAGGAGACAGAAATCTCCCTGCAGGATGTTTCAGTAGTGGATTATAGTGGATTATAGGGTTGTCACATTCTGCCACCCTGTGGTGAAAGAATGTAATTGAGATTTACACTTTCTATTTAACAGCTTGTACTTAAAGGTCCCACATTATTTCTTCTTGATCATTTTTAGAAAATGTATTACCGGTATGTCTCCGGTTAAAAATAATGTGTTTCAGTTTTTTGTCCAAACCCCTGCATTTTGCGTGAAGGTTGTACATCTGAATTTTGAAGACTATCAAGTCAATTTAATCAAAATATTGTAATGCAATAATGCAGTCCAGCTCAAGGTTACCAATACCTAGTTACCTAGTATTTAGTTCAGATCATTTTAGTGACTTTGGTGTGTCTGTTTGCAGGTCTGCAATCTGGGTTTGTCACGCTGCCCCGCCTCTCTCGCCTTGACAAACAGTTCCAAGATGTAGACGTCCGGAAAGGGTGTATACCAGACAGCGGTGGCATCACACTGACACGCTCAGAGTCCCTCACTTCGTTCACTGTAGACCTCGGCCCTTCCCTTATGACTGAGGTACTGAGCTTGATTGACAACCCCAGCTGCCTTCAGATGTCCAGCCAGGCAGCAGGTGATAAAGAGGAAGGCGAGGAAGAGGAAGAAGAGGATGACGGCTCTCTAACAGAGACGCCTGTGCAGAGCCCTGGGCTGAATTCACCCAACCCATCCATGGGGAGCGGGTCATTCAGCAGGAAGATGGACAACAGGGGGCACTCTTGTAGCTCTGACTGGACAGAAAAGGAGGAGGAGCGGTCCTGGAAGACACCAGATGTGTGCTCTGGGTCTCCTCAGAGAGTGGAGCCTGCCATGGAGGCAGAAAGGTTCCAGAAAGCAGCTGACGTGCTGTCTCGTCATTATGGCGGAGGGTCCTTTACAAAGGGAACGAGGATGAGCAGCGACACCACCTCTCCTGCTTTCTCCCACAGCAGCAAAACATCATATGCCTTTTCTGAAGAGGAAGAAGAGATCAAAGTCTAGATGTTGAAACTCTTAATGAAAGAGAGCACAAACTTCATTGATACAATAAAATCATTCAAATCTACCAGTGACTGAATTCTGGGTTCATTTCAGGTCAGAGAGGCTGAAAAATATGTACTATTCTGTTGTTCCTCCATTGAAACATTCTTACTCTTCTCACATGCATCTATATATCGTCATTGGGTGTCATTGATCAGCTACCAGATCCTGGTCTTTTTTGCAGGATAGATAGATGACGCTGAACTTGACCCTGGACGTTCCCCTCAATCTGCACTACGTTGCTGCCGTTATTTTATCCAGATTGTTTAAACCATTCTGAAGCTCTAAGTCACTGAATGAGACTTGTCAGGACAAAGTATTAATAATGACTTTTCTTGTCAGTCAGTAACAAAGATTTTGTATGTCCACCTGCATTAATTATATTCATAGCAGTTGCCTAAATATACTGGAGAACAATGAACAACTTCTATTTTATTTTTATATTTTTTCACGCTGTACATAATCACTCACTACATAATCATGATGTTAAACAGCAAAATGTATTTTACATAAATAAAGCCATTCAGGTTCATAGGTCTGAGGCGTCAAGCTGAACCTGAAATTAGAGGTTTTGTAACAATTGTGTTAAAACCTCTGCACATAAATCATTTACAAAGCTTTCTGTAAACCCCTAATCTAAATTGAAAACTGTTCATTATGTACTGATGTGTGGCATATTATTAGTACTTTTGCTAACCTGTTACAAAGAAAATGGAAATGTATAAATTAAACCTTTGGTAAATGGCTACATTTATATAGAGCTTTTATCCAAAGCTCTCTACCCACTGGGCCACAGACTAACAAACAAACAAACATTCCCTTTTATGAAATGTATCATAATTTCCATAACTGCACATGTTCAACTATTCAAACTGAAAATGTTAACATCTAATAATTCGGGCACTACCAAACAAAACTTTCCCTTCAGCACAACATACCTCAGAACACAGTAGCATTAACTCTTCTGTTTCATTACCCTGAGAATCCTCACAATGTCAGACCCACTCTAAATGTTTGGTATGAACTCTTTTGTTTTGGAATTTTCTACACCATGCCAGCGTAATTTCTGTTCATTGCTCAAGGTATCTGTCTTCAGCTTCTTTCCTGTGGAGTAGAAAGAGGGCAATCTCACATTCTTCCCTCTCCTGAACTCACATAAGACCTTGCTGTGGATTGTCAGCTTTTTTAAATTTTTGAATTGAATTGAAATCTTTATTTCAAACATGCAAGGGAAAGTATATAAAAAAATGAAATAAAATAATGTTTAAAAACATAGGAGAAAAAAACAACAGCAAACAAAGTAGCTTACCCTTCTTTCCTGTGTTAGCAGGAAGAAGTAAAACGTATGTATTCCTACCCCTTTAATTCTTACATTCCTTCAATTTACAATATTTATATTTATTATTATGTTGTTATATACATCCATATGTATATTTATACATAAATACATACATACATACATACATATATATATGTATATACATTCACATATACATACATACATATATATACACATACACACACATATTTTATTATATACACAATATTAAAGTGACCACTGACAAGTATTTATTTATCTATCCTCGATTACGTACTTATTCAAACAGCAAAAAATACAACAAAAAAACAAAACAAAACAAACAAACAAACAAACAAACAAAAGACAAAAAACATAAACAAAGGAGCACTCCTACTTTTGCTACACTGCCTCTTGATACCTCCTGAAAACAATTTCTTTGTACTTTTTTGAAAAGGGAAATGTTTGGCCATTGCTTTAGGTTCTCATGTAGTTTGTTCCACAATTTAACTCAGCACTCAGCACTTAAATTGATAAACATAATCTGTTAGTCTTAAAATTTCTCCTTCCCCTTAAATCGTACCCTCCCTCCCACTCAGAGAACATATTTTGTATATTCCCAGGCAATAGGCTATTTCTTGCTTTGGACTTCACATCAAAACAATAATAAAAGATGTAGTTTGATGACATATGAAGGATCATGAGAGTTGTTGTCTTCATCACCATGGCAGTCAGCTTCTCCTGCTTAGTGTTCAGTGTTTAGATCATTCAGGATTTTTGTACTTCGCGCCGAATTATCTGCAGTTATTTATTCTACATAGTTCTGGCTGTACAGGTTAGCAAGATAGGTTAGCTAGGGAAATTTTTATGTTAGTTTTTAAGGTACCTATCTGCACAGTGAATGAGCTAATCTGTGTGGTAAATAGCCGACCTAACTAATAAGCCTTCTTACCTGTGTTACTGCTAGCTCCTTCTTTTTTTCCCCTTTCGGATGTCACATCAATATTCTGCGCAGGTGGTACTGTAGCCTATACAGTGGTAATTCTATAATAATAATAATCCTATTTTAAAATCCCTCATATATTTAGATGTGATTGCAGATAAAGGACATTCGGCTATTAATTGAAGTTTTACGTAGTATACCATTAAACATTTACAAAGGTGCACACATCATCACCACTAAAGTAATAAATATTGTACTACCACATTTGAGGCTTTTTTTTTATCTCACAGACTTATCAGTTTTCCCATGTCATGAATGAGCAGGTTTAGGGGTCCATTATGATGCAAGCCATTAATAATATAATAATAATAAAATATATAATTCCCTGTTTGGGGCCATTCTGCTGTCTAATGAGTACTTAAATTGGTATTTTAATGTTGTTCCCCAGATCCCACCCACTCCACACAGGCGTACCAACCAACGAGTAGGAGTTGCTGGTGCATTGACAAGGATGTGATTACCTTTTGTTTGCCAATAAATTTGCCAGGCTGGAAACAGGTTGTTTTGTATAATTTTTAAATGTTTATTCACTTAATAACTAATGATTTACCATTCATTTAAAAGGTTTGTTCATAATGACTTTGTGAGTTTAATAGGCATACTTCTAAGTGATTAATGATACATCTATAAATGATATGCCGATCATTTACTAATGACTTGCTCATAACGTGTTCATGATTAAACAACCAACCACATAGGCTGAATATATCCTTTGGAGTCCCACTGGAGTGGACAGATGTATTTTCAGTCACAGAACAAGATGAACAAGAAATAAATAATTCAAATCTGATTAAAAGTGGTGCATCTCCTTTCCTTTCCCTCTATTTGGAATTTATGATGCAGTATATCAAAATGGCAGGGATGTAAAAGACCACAGTTTAGTGTAAAGATTGTTGACTTTGATGTCACGAGTCCCCGGCTGTGAGTCTGTGTGAGTTGTGTGTGGGGAGCTTGGTGTGTTTTTTGTTCGTCCGTCTCTGTTTGTTTCTCCCTCCAGTCTGGGGAGCTTGGGCATGTCTGCTGTGGGCTCAGCTCACACCTGAGAGCAGAGCTGGCAGCCATTAAGCGACCTTTGCCGTGGCATAGGGCCCCATGACGGTGAATGCTAATGCTAAGCTGGATTGCTAAACTTCATGCAAGCTCTCATTTCAGCCTCTCTCTTAAACAAGCATTAGATGCTCCTGTCTCTTTAAGCCCCCCAAAAAAGCCCAGTGTGTTCTGATTGGCCGAGATCCTGAAGCAGGATGATTATGCCGCTCAGCAGTACAGACAGACTAAGCATAGGAGTTGTCAGCTGTTATTGAGGCAGCAGGCAAATTAGCATATATGAAAAACCAGCTCTGTATGACATCATTAAGAGTCAAGCTTTGGTCAAGAGTAGAGCTTTGGCCATGTTTAACATGAACATCTGACACTGAAACATTATACATAAGACAGAAAATATAAGAAGCCTCCTTTAATGTGTGTGTGTGTGTGTGTGTGTGTGTGTGTGCGTGCGTGTGCACGCAGTTATGCATACATGTGTACTGTGTGACAGAGAGATAGGTTGACAATGAGACTGTAACACCAACTCAAGCAGACCAAAGCAAATTATCAGCAAGCAGAAAGAAAAATATATTGAATACTGGAAAGAAACAACCAAAACACAAAGTAAATTACAATGTTATCTGACCCTAAAAAGAGAATTCACACTGGCAAATTACTTGAGTACAATAAAATGTCCCAAACTAAGAAAAATGTTGACAACATACAGACTGAGTGAACAGGGACGTGCACAGACATTTTGGTGGGCAGGGGCTCAAGTGAAAAAAAGGGCATTTATTTTTAAACAAGACAAATATATTAACTCAACAACATTTTTACTTTTCTACAAAATAATCGGTTCACACAGAGGCCGCGGTCTTCTTTAGTAATCATTAGGTTTATCACAGGAGTAGGTGACAGCAAAGCAAACTATGCCACAATGTGCATGTTTTCTATGCTACTAGTTTCAAGTATATTATTATGACATTAATAATTTGTTTATTTTCACAAGGCAATAAATCGTTTCAATTCTTTTGGTGTTATTGGAATACATAACACTTCACATAAATCTTCACACTAAACTGTGGCATTGGGCTGCAGGCATAATTAAAATAAATGTTATTTAAATACTAAATATTTAAATACTCACAAGCAAGATGCCAAATGAGTAAAGATAACCTTCAGCTTCACACAGCCAAGCAACAGAATACTGAATTGCCTGAATACATTAATATATTGATCAAATACTTTATTATTGTGCTATTACCCACTGAAACCAAGCTTTTGTCTTGTTAATCCGGAGGGCGATGCAAAGCATTTAACAGAGTACTTGTACTTCTGTTGTACTCTGAAAAACAGGACAAGAATCGTGGGGCAAATAAGAGTTTGCAGCAGTGAGGTAATACTTTACTCTATCTTTCCTACTCTTGAGGTGCTATTTCTTTGCACTTTTACTGAGCAATCCACTAGAATCTGAAGGCCGGCTGAGCGAGATCAAACAACTGGGTGTGTGTCCCACCCACTGAAACCGAGCTTTTGTCTTGTTAATCCGGAGGGCGATCTCAGCTGGGTGCAATCAGTTCTAATGCCCACCACCTGTGTGCAATTAGACTCATACTACTTCAGTGAAACCTACCACTGAAGCGTCAGCGTTGGCTCCTTGGGTAAAGACCAGCAAGTCTACCTGTGCGAGTCCACTGAGCAAGGCCCCCTACAAGAGTAGCTTTTTCCCTTCCCGAGGCACACCTACTCACCTAAAGCTGCCAGCTACACCTACACTCAGGCCATGTGCTACCATACTATTCCTATTGTCTCCACGCAAAAGGTAACATGCCATCAGGCACAGAAACCAGGCACTCAAGCCTTTAAAACAGGCACCACCCACATCTGTTTACTTGTCTGTTGGGTCATGGAACTGCCAGTCGGCAGTCAACAAAGCTGACTTTATCACTGCTTATGCTAACACATTATCTCTTGGGCTACTGGCGCTCACTGAGACCTGGATCAAACCAGAAAACTCTGCTACCTCCGCTGCGCTGTCCACCAATTACTCTTTCACCCACACCCCTCGGCCGTCTGGGAGGGGGGGGTGGGACTGGGTTCTTAATTTCCAACAAATGGAAATTCACACAGCTGCTACCCCTGAATCAATATGCCTCCTTCGAATACCATGCTGTCTTTGTGTCCGCTCCAGTAAAGGTCTCTGTGATTGTCATATACCGTCCACCAGGACAAATGGGTAACTTTGCGGAGGAGCTTGACACACTGCTGTCTTCAATCCCAGAGCATGACTGTCCCCTACTTGTCCTCGGTGACATGAACATTCACTTAGACAATTCAAACTCAGCAGACTTCCTGTCTCTGATTCAGTCCTTTGATCTAACATGGGTTCTCAGCCCCCCGACCCACAAAGCTGGCAAGGCGCTTGACCTCGTTCTTGTCCGAAACTGTGCCAACAGTCACACCTCTACATGTGTGTCTGACCACTATTTTATTCAGTTCACGGTATGCCTACAGGAAAAGCCCATTCTTCCAACGCCATTGGTTTCACACCGCCGCAACCTGTCTCCCACTCACTTTGCCTCAGTGGTAGCTTCCGCTCTACCTTCCCTCAACACATTTTCCTCACTTGAGGTCAATGATGCCACACAATCTCTGTGCTCTACACTAAGCTCGTGCCTGGATAGCCTGTGTCCTCTATCCTCCAAGCCTGCTCGCCCAAACCAGTCCCTCCCGTGGCTAACTGATACCATCCGTGGGCTCCATACTGATCTCAGAGCGGCTGAAAGAAAATGGCAAAAAACCAAAGAACCCGCCGACCTTAAGGGCTACCAATTGCTCCTATCCTCCTTCTCAACAGGCATCAGTGCTGCCAAAACTATAATAACAGAATTAGCAGTGCCACTGACTCAAGGAAATTATTTTCCACTTTTAAAGCGCTACTAAATCCTCCTCCACCACCCACAAACTTGTCTGCCTTTGCTGCTTTCTTCACAGGCTACAACTAGCCAATTCTCTGAAACATTCAAACTCAACCATTGTAGCAGTCCTACTACATCTTTTTCTCTGCCCTCCAAGGGCCGGGGTTCTTCACTCTCCTCATTTACTCCTCTTACAGAGAGCGAAGTATCAGAACTCTTGACCCGTAGCCGTCCAACTACATGCCCACTGGACCTGATTCCTACGAATCTCCTCCAAGCCATTTCTCCTACCGTGGCCCTGACAATCACTCATGTGATGAATACATCTCTGGCTTCAGGAACCTTCCCGACCACTTTCAAAAGGGCCCGGGTTACACCCTTTCTCAAAAAGCCCTCACTCAACCCATTTCAAGTTGAGAACTATCGACCAGTGTCTCTTCTACCATTTCTTGCCAAAGCTATTGAACGGGCAGTATTCAAACAGGTCTCAGAATTCCTCTCACAGAATGACCTCCTAGATCCATACCAGTCTGGTTTTAAGAGTGCCCACTCTACTGAAAAGGCTCTTCTGTCTGTAACAGAAGCCCTAAGGTCAGCTAAAGCTGCAGCCCAATCCTCTGTTCTTATCCTGCTTGACCTATCAGCTGCCTTTGACAAAGTCAACAACAGGATCCTGCTATCCGCTCTCTCAGCAATGGGCATCTAGAGTAAAGCACTCCTGTGGTTCGAATCCTACCTCTCGGGGCGT